AGATATGATGCAGCTAATGCTCTCTTCTGGAGAGATGCATGGAAGCTTGCCTAATACACAGAGTTTCTGTCAGCAGTTCTTAAATAAGAGACCGTTTTATTGATCCTTGTTTAGAAGCTGAGTGGAATTTTCCTATATCAGGATAAAATAATCAGAAGTTTGTTATACACTTACGTTTTTACCTAATACATGTTTTTACTTGAGTGTAAACACACGCATTTACACAGAGGAATATAGTATGTTTATATATTATATATACATTTATATAATAATGGATATCTTCTATATATTTGCTTCATATATATTTGCTTCTTGTTCTGTATATTTGCTTTTTATTCTGCAGCGGATGGTATCTGAGAAGCACACAGACTTAATAGCATTTTATGTGAGCCACCTGCCCCCAGAGCTCGCCGTTGCTCAGTATGCTTTATTCCTTGAAGATGTTACTGAAAGCGATCAACGCCACCACTGCCTTGAGTTGGCAAAAGATGCAGGTGAAAGATCCTGAAATTCCTATTATCATTTTATATCCTAGGTTCTTTTGTGGTTTTGCTCCAAGACCTAGCTACGAATATGATACTTTTTCCTTTCTGTGTCTCTGTTTTTCAATTAAATAAAATTAATTTACTGATCACTTCTTCAAGTAGGTATATAATGTGTTTTAACTAAGTTGGAATTGAAGTTATTTTCTGAATTAAACTAAATATCACTGGCTGCTGGATTATGTCCAAACACAGCAAGAACTAAATGCCAGCTGCCTATTTCAAATACAGGTCCTGAAGGTTGATGTGATCATATTATTTCAGAGAACTATTTTTAAAAATATATACCTGTTTGTGGATTTAGGAAGGTTATGAGTATCTTAATTCTTCTGTTCTATTTATAGTGCATTTTCTTAGCCGTGGTGGGTTGCTTGCATTAATGGTGATCTTCCTACCAGGCCTATACATCAAACCAAAAGGGACTACAACAAAGCAGCATACTGTCCATTGCTTGACAGTTCCTCTGTGCCACTCAAAATTCACAAAGAAATAGATTTACTGGAGATTTCAGTGTCGTAACATCTCTTCAATCATTTTTCAGTCATTTTCCTTTAAACTGGGCTAAGGCTTACAAAAATAAAACATCCTGCTTAAGCATCTGTAAAAGAGCTATTCTGAGCTTTTTCTGGTACATTCCTGTCAAATCACGGTCTTGCTTCAGAACTGTAGGAATCAGTGGTTTTAGCAAATATATCTATATGCTGTTCCTCAGCACAGACTGAAAAACTTGTTAGTTGTCTTGTTATTTTTCTCATATTTTATATTCTCTCATATCAAATATCATTCTTGTAAAATATCTGCAATAAATACACAGCTTAAAGGCTTAAAATTTTTTTTGACAATATGTGTGTGAACAGACTGATAGGAATTACCAGTAGTGAGGAATAAGTTGGAGTCTGAAATTCATTTTTTGTCAAGTTTGAGTTCATGGTAGTTCTTATACAGTTCTTTCTTAACCCAGGTCTGGATGTTGCAACCATAACAAAAACTGTTGTTGAAAACATCCGCAAGAAGGATGCTGGAGAATTCAGTCACCATGACCAAATGCTAGATACAGGCACAACAGAGGTGAGTACACTTCGCAGAGCAGATATTCCAGTTTGCAATCAACTATGGAGTCTTCGACGATGTATGATCCATCTGTCTTTTAACAATGGTGAAAATTGCCTTGAAAAAGCCTGTTGGGGAAATGTACTTTCCATGTGACCGACTGAGGATATTGCACAAATCCGTAACTTCTCTTTCTGCTTCTCCTTGATCCTTGTGTTGGTCAGCAGCCACGTCTGTATGCAGACATCAAGTGAAGATAAAGCCCATGAAATGACTGCAGCAAACTACCTCATAGTTGAGAGTAGGATGTTCTTGTAGCTTCTATGAATTACGAGGATTAATACTGTGGATCTCAGATGTCCCTTTTAACATGCTCAAGTGATATTTCTAGATACAGCAGATGCTGCCTTTACTGACAGTTTCCTTTCACCACTATTGAGCGTTGGCTGGATCCAACTCAGTACTTTAGGGACAGTGAGGTACTGTTAATAGCCTGTATTCAAAGTGCTGCTTAGAAAGCAACTGATTGTTTGCAAATTTTTGGCTATTTTTTTGCTGTTCAGTACAAAGTTTAAGCTGTCTAAGACAGAAAGGTAGTTTATCTAACATAGGAGGTGCAAGCTAATGGCACCTCTGAAGATTATAGCAAGGGCTCCATAAACCATATTTGTACAGTGTATTCATATTAAAGTTTGATGAAAATGCATTGTAATCCATAAAAAATTTTGAGAGATGATGCTCAGTATCTTGGGAACACTTAGAAATTAATTTTTTTATTATTCCATATTGCAGATATTGTTTTCTAAGCTTTTGAATAGAGTGATCCTTCTTACCATGTCGTAATGCTTTCCAAACTTGTGTATTTCATTGACCAGATTTAATGTGTGTAACATCAGCTGTATTTTTGAGATGGTAGTGAATCTCTATGTTGGTTTTTACAGGCAGATCAGCTGAAAATAGATGTGATTGACTGGCTCGTATTTGATCCTGCACAGAGGGCAGAAGCACTTAAGCAAAGCAATGCAATCATGAGGAAGTTCTTGGGTACTAAGCTTCACAAATATTGTAGACTTTTTAAATGTTGGTTTTGTTCTCTTTGGCTCTTGGCACTACATTTGACATAATTTTGAATCTAGTCTATTAAAAGCATGGCTTTGCCATCTTATGAAAATAAGGCATGGAAATTGCAAAGCTGTTGATACCCAGTTCACATTCTCATAGCATCCAAGAAACATGAAGCTGCAAAAGATGTGTTTGTGAAGATTCCCCAAGATTCTATAGCAGAAATATATAACCAATGGGAAGAACAGGGAATGGATACTCCACTTCCAGCTGAAGATGACAATGCTATACGGGAACATTTATGTATTCGTGCGTATTTGGTGAGTTTCAAATATACAGTATTCCAAGTTATTACTTAGAAATAATGGTGGGTTTACCTTGGTGGTTAAAGACTAGCTTTGTCCATTTAACTTAACTTCTGATTTTTGGATGTATTATAGCTGTGCATGTAATGACATTCTGGTTATTATATGAGACAAAAATGTCCAAACACTGTTTCCAATGCAATCCAGGAAGCCCATGAAACCTTTAACGAATGGTTTAAACACATGAACTCAGCTCCACAGAAGCCATCTTTGTTACCACAAGCAAGTTTCACTGAAAAAGTGGCCCATGAACATAAAGAAAAGAAGTATGAGGTAAGTAGAAGTCCAAGTTATTTACTGCAAACTTTTATGGTTTTGCTTAGGAGGCAGTCTTAGTTCAGTGAAACAGAGTAGAAGACTGCTATGTCATATTGCTTAAGAACTCTATTATAAATGATTCTATTTTTAGGTTGAAGGGAGTAGTATAAGACAATAGAATAATAATGGCACTGCACAATAAATTCTGCTTTTTTAATATGACTTAGCTTTACATAAGATATTGTAATGTAGTAAATATTCATTATAATCTGTTGATTGTCAGTGTTATTAATAAATCTGAGCACTTGATTTTGCTATTAACTCTTTATTCTTGTATTTATCACCTTTTGTTTTCTAAAAGATGCAGCAGTTTTGTTTTGCCGAAAGTTCTTTTGCGTGCCTGACCAGTATGAATATACTGTGCTCGGTTAATACAAATGTTTGTTTTATAAGCATGGCAGAATAAGTTGTTTAAAATTATGTGCCTCGAGAGGCTTTACTTCTGAACAACTTGTCTGACTCTCTGGACAGGGAATTAAGCAAGGATGGAAATAGCAGCAGGTTTTAAGTTTTAAGTTTTAGCCACTGGCTGAAGATTCTAATTTGAATTGGAGCTGCACTGACTGTTGCATGCCGGTGAAGAGTCTGTTTTAAAATAGCCTTGGAAATCATCCTGTTCTGCAGTAGTTTATTTTTTGTTTCTTTGCCAGATGGATTATGGCATTTGGAAAGGCCTCTTGGATGCTCTTACAGCCGATGTTAAGGAGAAAATGTATAATGTGTTGCTGTTTGTTGATGGAGGATGGATGGTTGATGTTAGAGAGGTAAAATAAATTTTTATATCACAACACAGACCACAAAGCACAGATTGTACCCAGTTGTACCCTTGTCACCTTTAGTTTGATGTGTTCCTGTTTAATTTGCTCTGGCCTTGCTGTGACCAGTTACAGCTTGCTTCCCCTTCAGTTACCATCCAAATCATATCTGACAGTCCAGTCTAGGCTGGTTAGTCCAGTTTTCTGCCTCTGATGCTACTGATTATGTGGTTATGTTGAGTTGCCTTTTAAAAGTATATTTTCATAATACTAATATGCTGTATTACTCTGGTAAGGATGCCGAGGACGACCCCGAACGAACACAGCAGATGATTTTGCTGCGTAAGCTATGCCTGCCAATGATGTGCTTCTTACTGCACACAGTGCTGCACAGCACAGGGCAGTACCAGGAGTGCCTGCGCCTGGCAGACATGGTCGCTTCTGAGCGGCACAAGCTTTACACGGTGAGTTAGTGAGGGCTGCAGGCAGCTCAGCTTTCATTTAACGGCTCCGTGGGTTGGCTGTGTAAGAAGCTTCTATATAGAGAGGAAGATGCCATATGTTCCTTAACATCATAAGTTTCTTTATTGCTTCCTATCAACAGCAAGTGGTAAAGGGTTTCCTTGTATTCTGACTTAAGGAACACTGAGGATGATGGCCAGTGTTTTGACAAGCAGTTCTTCTGAATACTGCAGTTACTAATTTTTGGATGGGAGTTTAAAGGTTGGACTCCGTGATCTTAAAGGTCTTTACCAACCTAAACAAATCTATGATTCTGAGTTGAGCTGCGGAATTGTAATTGATTTCAGGAATGTATACGCAGGTTTGCACTTGTTTACCCCTAACCTTCTTTCCCTCCTAAAGCCTGGAAAAAACCTCAAAATGAGACAGAGCTATCTTGAGCCTACCTTCAGGTTTTGGATGCTGCTACTAGCTTCCTGTGCCTTACTAAAGGTCATTCAGAAGTGCCTGATGCTCACACTATCTTGAATAGAAAGAAATAAAAGGGAAAAAAATAGTAACTTAATTAACCACCATTGCTTTAATATCAGTTATATTCATGGTAAATAAATATAACTGTATTATGTTTGGGGTTTTATTATTTATTCTTAGGTATTTTCAAAAGAAGAACTCAGAAAGCTTCTGCAGAAGCTGAGGGAATCTTCTCTGATACTTCTGGACCAGGATCTTGATCCTTTGGGATATGAAATTCAGTCATAGGTTTTCGTGTAGATACCTACAAAACCTCCTGTCATGGACATTCTGGTTACATTAAAAAAACAAACCAACAAAACCATTACTTGGACAAATTGTTCTGATTTTTTGGGGGGGAACCTCCAACTCTCAGATTTCAATGTAAACTTAAAAAATTCTGACCAACTTCAGAGATGTTATTTGTTAAACAACCTTTTTCATAATTTTTTTTCCTAATAAAAGTGCTTCAAAAAGAGAAAATGTTTGTTTGTTCTAATCTAAAATGTCATTATATAAATATGGTGATTGCATGAACTTCTTTGCTATGTGCCAAAAAGAGCCGCCCATAGACCGGAAACATTACTTGGCAGGAAAAGAATGTGCATGGGTACAGTGAGGAGAAAAGTGAGACTGCAGGAACGTGTACATGGAAAGTAGGGGAGAAGAAAGCAAACACTTGGGGCTGGAGGAAGGGAACACCAAAAAGCAAAAGTGAGGGGCTACATCCCGCCCTTCAGAAGAGAAGGCAGCCTTGCTTCAGAGCTTGTGCTGTTCTAGCGTACATCGTGGAATTGCTAAAATGCTGCTGAACCAAAGCAAGGATGATCATATGTTGAAACTCCCGAGATTTTGCAGTTTATTTAGAAAGCTTGTTCTGACCCTGTTTACCTGTGTAAACAAACATTTAGCTGCCTTTCCCTTAACGCGAGAGTGCAGAGGACACGACTGTAGTGGAGTTAGGCAAGGGCTCTGGCTCCTTCACCCAGTCGGTGTCTTCTGACACCTGACAAAGATCTTCGTTTGTGCTGTACCTTCTTTAGGAGGTACAATATGCCTGTTGCAAAGAAATTCACACTTAAATGGATGACTATCACATCAACATGACAGAGGATGCTCATTTGGGAGACTTTTACAGTCGTGGCCAGTAATGAGCTGGTTGAGATATTAGTAAATGTTAAAGCAGAAAGGGCTAAGACAGTCCTTGGACATATCTATTTTTTCAACCATAATCATCCAGAAAGGTTGTATTGTGTGTATATCCTGCATTTTCGTGTGTGTATTCCGGAAATACCCAGTCCGGTTGTGGAGAGGTACCTTGGAGGGACGGAGCGTTTCTGCCCATCGCTGGGCTGCTGGGCAGAGCTGGGGGTTGTACCGGGGCAGGGAGTGGACGTACACACAGACGAACAGACGGACACGCCCCCGCACGCGCCCCCCGTCCGTTCCGGGGGCGCTGCCGGCGCTGGCCCCGCGCAGGGCGGGCGGAGCCGCGCGGGGAGGGCGGGGCCACCGGAAGGCGCGAGCCCACGTGTCCCGCGGGGCGGGGGCGGCGGGCCCGGCCGGTTCGCTGGCGGCCGCCGGGCAGCCTCAGTCATGGGGTGGCTGCCGGCGCAGGGCCGGCTGGCGGCGGGGCTGCTGGTGAACCTGGCCGCCTCCATCTGCATCGTCTTCCTGAACAAGTGGCTGTACGTGCGGCTGGGCTTCCCCAACCTCAGCCTCACCCTAGTCCACTTCGCCATTACCTGGCTCGGCCTCTACCTGTGCCAGGCGCTCGGCGCCTTCTCCCCCAAGAGCCTCCAGCCCGCGCAGGTGCTGCCGCTGGCCCTCAGCTTCTGCGGCTTCGTCGTCTTCACCAACCTCTCCCTGCAGAGCAACACCATCGGCACCTACCAGCTGGCCAAGGCCATGACCACGCCGGTCATCGTGGTCATCCAGAGCGTGGCTTACGGCAAGACCTTCCCCCTGCGGATCAAGCTGACCCTGGTGAGGAGGCGGCGGGGCTGAGGGGAGCGGGGAGGGGCGACGCCGAGGGCAACAACCCCGCCTAAAACCCCCCTCTCCACCTCCGCAGGTCCCCATCACGCTGGGCGTCTTCCTCAACTCCTACTACGACGTGAAGTTCAACGTCCTGGGGATAGCATTCGCCACCTTGGGCGTCCTGGTGACCTCCCTCTACCAAGTGGTGGGTATTGGCGGGGGGGGGGAGCGTTGTGGTGGTTGGTCTTCACGATACGGCCCCTTGTTTTGATCGCCTTTCAGTAGCATCCAGCCTTCCAAGAAACCCTCCGTGCTCCGTTTTTTGTTTTTAAAAAACCCACCAAATTTTGATAGTCCATCATAACCCCTGGTAAATTGACGAATTGATCGTCCTTGCTGCTAAAAATTGGGGTCATCTTTAACGTGAGTGTATTTTCAAGGGGTGAAAAGCGGTAAAACTCCTTTTTTTCTAGAGAGAACTGATGTTCTTGCTGAAGTAAGTGTCTTGCATTTGAGCCTTTCCCTAGAAAGGACGTTTTCCAGTCCTTCAGTTAATCCCGTGGTTTACTTGAGCTATTTACATTTTGTCAGCATCCTTTTTCAATTTCGACTATACATAATCTCAGGTGTTTTTGTAGAGGGTGCATTAATACATATGCATGATATACACACAATACAACCTTTCTGGATGATTATGGTTGAAAAAATAGATATGTCCAAGGACTGTCTTAGCCCTTTCTGCTTTAACATTTACTAATATCTCAACCAGCTCATTACTGGCCACGACTGTAAAAGTCTCCCAAATGAGCATCCTCTGTCATGTTGATGTGATAGTCATCCATTTAAGTGTGAATTTCTTTGCAACAGGCATATTGTACCTCCTAAAGAAACGAGGCTCTTTGATCTGTAGTGTGTAAGATGATAAGTAATGGTCTGGTCTCTTGTCCTGTTTTGGGGCAGGAGGAGGAGAGACATGCTATATAATAACTTTAAGTGATGGTGTGTGTACTGGAGAAATGATAGTACTTGGGTGAAATTATTCTGTAATATTAAAAAAAACACCTTAGCAAATTCATATGCTGGAATTCATGTTACCAGTTAATGTGATTTATGAAGTATTAAACATCGTTCTTAAGCATGATATAAAGTCGCATCTTTTTGGCTGTAACATCTATCTTCATAGCCATAGATAAATAATACTTCTTAAAGCATGCTACCTTGAAAATTGAAGTTACAAGTTAGAGTCAATTATAATCAATATTGAAATGAAATCTGTTAAATTTGGAAAACTGGCAAAAGAAAGACGAACGTTTACTGATTTTGTTAGCTTGTATGGGGAAGAAAATAAGCAGAAAGGTGCACAAGCAGATCTCTGCCGTGGCAAAGGTACTCAGCTCCATCACAGACAGGATCTAGAATTTGTGTTGAATATAAAAGGGAGCCGGCATTTTCTTTCTAGTTCTGCTACTTTTTTGTTCTTCCTCAGGCGCAATACTTTACCCCCAGGCAATGGGAAAAAGGAGGTTTAGGCACTCAGGACTTTTTCACTGTCCCTGCATCCTATTTTCTCCTCTTTTGTGCTTGCAAGAGACAAACACACAGGGCCCCCAATTAGGCGAAGGTAATGCTCAGCAATCTGTTTATGTAATATTGTCCACATGAGATTCCCTCTGTGTTAGTAGCCAGTTTGCTTTTGCTCAGGTTTTCAATTTGTGGGGTTTTTTTCCTCATGTTTAACAGTTTTCTCTTTTGGTTTTAGTGGGTAGGTGCTAAGCAGCACGAGTTGCAGGTAAACTCTATGCAGTTGCTGTACTATCAGGCACCAATGTCCTCAGCTATGTTGTTGTTCATCATACCCTTCTTTGAACCAGTCTTCGGAGAAGGGGGAATATTTGGGCCCTGGACGCTTTCTGCTGTGGTAAGGCTTTTATTGACTTCATTTAAATAATTAACACTGATGTAGTTAAACTTGATAGTAAGATATATTTCTATGTGAAACAGATTTTTGTACAACCATTGGCTATGGTGAGATGAGAGGGGCATGTGCAGGAGAAAAGCCCTTTGTTGAGTCTGCCCCACTTCCTCTGAGAGGAGCGAGTCTGTCAATTTATTTATGTCCTTAATTCTTGTTTCTGTTTAGAGGGCATCTGAACAGCAGGAAAATCTGTGAAAATCCAGAAGCTTCCCCTAATGTATTAAATTAAAAATAATGTAAGTGCTCTAGTTCCAGCTCTTACTGTCCACTCAGAGAAAGAGAGAAGCGTGCTCGCTTTTGACATTCTCAGCTCTTCTTCTGCGGAAGGATGTCAATATTGGTTGTTCACTAGAATTAATAGTTTATTTTCACCAAGAAGACTATAATTTCTCTCTGTATCCTGTCCAAAAAAGAGGCAGTGGCATATTCTTACCAATGCTGATCATGCTCCTCAGTGGTGGGTCACTTCTTGTAGCATTGCAGCTTATGAATGGGTTAGCAAGTATTCACAATAATAAAATCAGATATTTTCCTTAAATAGTTTTCATTGTCACCATAAATAAGACTTTGTCTCAAAGGTAAAGAATGCAGCCTCAGTGTGCATGAGCAGCCAGATTTTCCAAATCACTCTTAAATGTTCACCAAGGGTAAAGGAGAAAAGGGCTTGTAGGTCTCTCAGAGTATATTTATGGAGATCATACCCTGAGCTGCTTATACACATCACCAGTGTATGGACTGATTTGAAGCTGTTTCTATTTTTGTTCTTCGTATGTTTTTCTTGCCTGATACTTTGCATTTGAAAGTAAATGAAACTAAATAAATACCTGGGATGTATCTACAAAAGCGGGTCAGATTACTGACTGTGTCCATTAATCCACAGATAATGGTACTGCTGTCTGGAATAATAGCCTTTATGGTAAACTTGTCCATTTACTGGATCATTGGAAATACGTCACCAGTCACGTATCCTTTGTAACATTAGTCATTTCTCCTGTTTCCAGATGAATTGTGTTGGAATTCATTTGGGCTGATTTATTGTGGCAAAATTGTTTGTAACCTGCCTGCTTTATCTTAAAAGATGAAGCTGGAAAAGCATGTTCATGTTTTAGTGTACTTTGTTTCTTTGTTCGAGATTTGTACAGGTAATGGTGGTTCCCTCGCTGACCTTCATACCTGCAAAGAATATTAATCCACACTTTGGCTACTTTGAGGAAGTGTTGGCATGCGAATCAGTTTGAAGTGTACGATGGGTGAAAAGCTTTAGGTGGAGGTTAATACTCACAGGCTGCAGAGATGCAAGAAAATTGCATGAGTTGGAGTCAGCATGGCCATACCATTGTGTGCTTTGGGTGTAACTAATGAAATTTCCAAGTGTTTCTTTTTACAAAAAATAATACTGGAATTTGCTGTTATCCTTAATGGATGTCTAGGTATAACATGTTTGGACATTTCAAGTTCTGCATCACCCTCCTGGGAGGGTGCCTCTTATTTAAGGATCCACTATCTGTTAACCAAGGCCTTGGGATTCTGTGCACGTTGTTCGGCATTTTAGCCTACACACATTTCAAGCTTAGTGAGCAGGAAAGCAGTAAGAGTAAATTGGTCCAGCGTCCATAAAGCAAGAGTTTCTGAATACTGTTGTGAAGGAAAACAAGTATTTAAATATGCATTGATTCTAGAATGCACGAAATTGCCTCAATCATTTAGATCTATGGTTTTAGTTTAATTACCAGGATTGTTATTCTGTAACTAAACCAAAAGAACTGAATTATGTAGAATGCTGGGGGTTTGCCATCTCAGTCCATCCTATCATTTTCATTAAATTAAAACAGTAACTTAAAAGAGAAAAAGGCATACTTCGAATTGCTGTGGAAATTGTACTGAAGTAATTATATTTTTTGCATACCAAATGAGATCATGATGGCTACCGTTATAATACAGAAAGAGAGAAAGAAAAGGAATCCTGTCTCTGTGATCATGCCATTATTGCTGTCATGAAGAAAAACTTGGAGGCACTTTTATGCAGATGTTCTCGTATGTAGTAACGCTTCCTCCTTTTTGTCTGGTAAACAATGAGGAGGAAAACATACTTTGTCCAGTTGTTTTAAAAAAGGCCACCAGAGTCATTCCTATTTCTTGTGTGCTTTCTTATCTATGTTTGGCTTCAACACAGGGATAGATTTTTGGCTGAAGAAAGTAGATAAAATTACAGGTGGAAGGAGACTAGAGGTGAGAGTGGAAAACTTGAAGCCATAGTCCAAGCTATAGAAAAATAGGAAATCAGATCTGAACAGTTCATCTTAATTTTTTCTTTTAGTCTATCAGGACATTCATGAAGTAATTAATGTTTTGGAAAATTTTGTTACTGCATTATAATTTTCTCTGTGCCAAAACCAAGACTTTACATGAGATCTTGTAAATACTTGTGAGCCTAATAAAATCTC